CGTTAGATGAGGTCATTTGTCTTTTCTTATACTGCTACTTTCAACTTTCCTTGCGGGGCGTGAAATTTTTTAATTTAAAAAAAAATCTTGTTTTCAAGGAAAAGATCACAAGAGAAATAAGAAAGGAGACAAAACAAGAAAATTATCTCTGTACAAAACACACAGCTTCCTTGACCCAGACTTTCTGCTGCCATTGCTAGCCCTCATTTTTTCAATGTGGCTCCTACAGGTGTTCTTTGCCCCTTTTAAAGGAGGGAAGAAGGTTCTAAGTGAGTATGGGCCCTTATGCTCTCCCGCTTAATGCATGGCTCGTTTTCACACCGTCCTGCAAATTGAGAGACACTCTTCTTTCTCCTTCTAGAAATGCATCATTGTCACAGACTGAGAGTTCTTCTGCAGCAGAGGGGTTGACCTTAAAGTGCCGAGAGACACTCCTGCACATACTGCCAGCTCAGGATTGACCGAAAAGTGCTGAGAGACGCTCCTGCGCCTGGTGCCATCATAAGCTTCAAGTCTATCATCTTAAGACAAGTCCTGGTCTGCCCAGCTGACCCGTCGGTCTCCAAGAATCTTGTGGGAAGTATTCAATATCATCCCATAATAATACCCACTCTCATACCTTTAAACGTCCTGGAATGCCTTCCAAGAGGTCCAAAGCAGAAGCCACGCTCTCTTTATTACCATTGAGAGGACATTAGACAGACTTCTCAAGAAAGACACATGGAGGTAGTAGAGTCAAGGCCACTGAAGGAAATGGTAACCTTGGCCCAAGGAAGACAAGCTTTGTAGAGGTTGTGAGCAACTCTCCAAGTGTCTATTCAAACAGAAAAGAGAAATGAGATGAACGCTCTAGGGCCAATAAAGACCAGGGACAGGTCAACTTCTAACGGGAAACAACTTTAAAGGAGAGTGGGCAAAGGCAGGGTGCTGGGATGTCACTGCAGACACAGAATTCTCCATCAGAGAAAGAGTGGGCACAGAGGCCACGCCCACTGAGTGAGGACTCTGTTCTACATAACTGAAGCACCAAGCAAGGCACCCAGATCCCTGCTCACACTTCCCTCTTCTTCAGCTGCCTGGTGACCAAGCCGTTTCTCTGAGGTAGAACCAATAGCAATCACTCAGGTCCCTAGAGAGTCTGTCCTCTTCATGGTACCCTTGGCTGCCCACAGACCCACAGAAGCCTGTCGCCTGACACCACAGGTGGCAATAGGAGGCTACGGTGCCTCTGGAGGAGTCTCTATCCTCCATGGTCTCTGTGCGGCACTCCGCTGATCACCAGGTTCATTCGGCAGCCCGCTAAAGAGAACTCACAGGCTCTCCGGCTCTCAGCAGGAAAAGCTTGGAGCCCTGTTGTTGGAAAGAGTTCCCGACCTGCATCTCAGGCAGGTATTTTTAGGTTCTGTCTTGAAGACGCGGAAACTTTCGTACATTTCAGCTTCTTTGTCTGGAACCACTGCAACCCCAGACGTGTCATTGAAAGGGGGTATAATTGTGGTCTCCTCCACCCAGCAATCTGAGCTTGTCTGAAAGGAGCTCCCTGCTGTGCAGCAGGGGGGTTAGAGAGCCTTTTCTGGCAAGGGAAAGTCAAAATGGATTTTTTAAAATAATAATATGTTGATCAAGAAGAGGGAAAAAAAAAGTCTCAAGGAGAGGGGGCTGCGCAGGGGGCTGATCTGGAGAGGAAGGGTACCTATTGTATTGGAGCCTGGTCTTGGTTCTTCGTGTCAAGCCTCGGAATCCCAGCTTGGAGGAGGTAAAGTCTCCTATCTGAGGATAGGGAATAAAAATGCTAAGAATCATCCGTGTTAGATCAATGGCTGTTATTAATTTGAGGTTCTCCGGGGAGTAATTATAATCGTCAGTTGCTGGGCATAGCCTGGCACTGAAGAAAAAAATAGAAACACTGAAATGATGCTGAGCAGGTATAGAACTGACAGACATATGCCAGCTGTGCGTCAGAGCTGGAGGAAGGGATGTTTAAGTTCAGAGAGCACGAGAACCATCTTAGACAGGTCAACCATGTTAGACGGGACTCAGTTTTTAAAAGAGGAAAAAAAAAGTCTTAAGGGCTGACTAACTATAGAATGATCCTCAGTAACTGAAAGGACCCATGTGACCACAGGACCATGTGACCACAGGACCACGTGACCGTGAAAAGCTAAGTTTATCAAGTAGCCCGTGACAGTCATGCCCGTTGTCAGTGTGCTTTGAAACTGCACAGCAAAGCAATGTTGACTGAGGGGAAGGGTTGTGGGGGATTGGTTTAATTAAATAAATGCTAGATTTTCCCATAAGAGTCAAAAACAAAGTAATTGCCCACAATATCCAGCCAGGAGCTCACCAGCCATTGATTCTCGAAGTTTACTTTGAGTAGAAAGCAAATACCTGATCCAGATGTGGGACTGAAGGAGGATCGGAGGACACCCCAGTGTCTGCAGGGCTTCCCTTGGGAGCCTGCCACCAGCCAAAGCCACAGTTCACTTTGTGGATTGGATATAAAGGGACTCTGTGATTGGCAGAGCCCAGAGTTGGAAACTGAAGAACTGCAAAATGACCACCACAGCACATGAACCCCAAAGTAGGATGTGCCTGAGAACAGGGTCCCCCTGAATCTCTACCAGTCCCACAATAGGCTCTCTCTTGCTGGAATGATCCTCACCTGAAGTGAGGAGCATTAGGGCATGTGGCTCCCTGTGCTCGTTCTCTCTCTCTCTCTCTCTCTCTCTCTCTGTCTCTGTCTCTCTGTCTCTGTCTCTCTCTCTCTGCCTCTGTCTCTCTGTCTCTGTCTCTGTCTCTCTCTCTCTCTCTCTCTCTCTCTCTCTCACACACACACACACACACACACACACACACACACACACCAAACCTAACGCTTACCAACGTTTATTGGCATCACTATATGGTAATATGAATACTGTAATCTTTTACCTGGCCTCCAGAACTAGTCCCATTGCACCTTGCTGTGAAGATGGGGCAGTCAGACTTCAATGAGTGAGCCATCTGACTCAAAGGCGGACAGTCTGGAGTGGACACACCTTGAATCTCTGACTCCTGATCTGAATTCTCGGCGTTACGGCCGGCCACAGTCCCTTCTGGAAACATGCAGTTTTGTTTTCTTTTCAGGACAACTGGGTGGAGGCCTCCGTTCTCGACAATCAGGAGGAACAGCTAACCTCTACAAAGGTCACTTGGGAAACTCATAGGCAAATCAGATGGGAATGTGTCCCAGATTGAGGATCTGTAACTGAACAGGAGGAGACCCATGTCCCATGTTCCGTACTTCTTCCAGTCCACCACAAAGCTGGGCACAAGACCTGGGAGAACCAAGTCAAAAAATCTGAGGGAAGCAGCTGTGGTGGCTCACACTTGTAAGGTCACCCTTGAGGAAGGTGGAAAGAGGACACTTAGTTTAAGGCCATCTTGAGAGACACAGTGAGAAAATCTCAAAGGGAAGGCAAAAAATTCTAAGGGAAGAGACAGGACACAAATGGCTGTCAAACCTTTTAGCCTCGGATTCTTAGGGAAGTCAGAAATTGTTTGAAAGATTTCAAAAGGCCTACCTGGCTCACCTACTGTGAGAGAGCAGAGAACTGCATGTTAACTTGGCATGCTAGAAGGCAGAATGGCATAAAGGGAAGTTAATTAAGTCCCAGACTAGATGCCCTCTGTCCCGGAGCGGAAGGAAATTAGCCTAGGGTTGGAAGTGAAGCTGTGCAGAGTGGGACGGAGTGCTGCTTTTCTCCATCCTCCGCCTTGGTGGCAAGGGCAGACACTAGGGAAAAAGGGGAAAGAAATCGAAGCTCCCCAGATCTGCAAGTTGCTTCCTCTCTGGACTAGAACTGCCTGGCAACCAAGGGAATCTTGAAGCAAGAAGCAGGTCCCATTCCAACACCATCCAACAATCCTTCTTCTGTCTCACTGTTTATCTCCTTGCTTTGACTTCTGTATAGGCCAAAAAGGGCTTTACAGAGTGTTAATGACATTACCAGTTTAATTAAGCACAATACATACGTTGAAAAAAAGAAAATATCCATCTTTTTATGTGTTCTTCCTGTGACTTCTGGTTCTCCACACATGGAAGAACAGATCATATCTGTGACCTGGCCACCTGCCTGATAGCAGCTTCCAAATTATTAAACTTGACCTTAGAGGCAATCGTCATCCTTTGCAATGTGTGATTCTGAACAAACACCCAGAATTAAACCCGGTACGCGAGAATCAATGCCACCACTATCTTCAAGTCCCAGAATGCTTAGGAGATGCTGAATAAAAATTGTGCCTTTGCAGTTGCCATCAGAGATTCTCCTCTATCATTGTGTCTATTCCTGTGCTCATCCCAAGAAAGCTCCCAGCTTCAAAGCCACACATTTTTATTAAGCATCTCCTATACTTGATGATTACTCTCTACTCTCCAGGATGCTGGGTCTTCAGTGCTCAAAGTGAGTTTTTCCGTGATTCCAAATGGGTTAAACACTATACGGGTACTAATGTGCCTGGCTCGTCCACCCCCAGAAGGGACCAGAGGAAACGGAAAGTGAGACCCCAAACGGTGGCATCCTCAACCCCTCGCATGGCCACCTTCCTGCCCGCGATGGCTGGATTCTCTCAACCCTTATTTTTCCATGCAAGTTGAGGAGACTCTAGACAAAAAAGAAAGAAAATGACGAGCGCAAAGCTAGGGCAGCCCAGCATGCACGCGTAAATGTCAGGTTGTACGAGAGTTATAATTAAAGTCCAAGATGACAGATAACTATAAAATCAGATTGGTTCCTTTCCACATGGAAGGAAAACATAATGTTGTCATCCAACCCAAGCTTTTTTTTTTTTTTTTTGTAAATTGAAATTACAGTTTTATTTGGAGCTATTTTTAAAGGCCCATTAATTAAAACTCAGTAGCCAAGCCAGTGCAAGAAATTCCATAAATGGCGTCAGATTTGATGATCCCCAGCAGCGATCAGCACAAGACAATGTCATCCAAATATCAAATTCTCTAAATCTAGGTTTGTTTGTTTTTTATTGAAAATAAACAAATTCGGGGGCAAAAAAATAAGAAAAGATATGTGCAAAATGTAATGATAATGGTTGACTTCTAAACAGCTAAGGAAATTATAGTCATCATGTGTGGGGAAAGAACAAACACCTCTTAATTGCATTTCATTATAACGTACCTTTCTTTGCTCAGTTGTATATATTAATTATAAAAATCGTGCTGCAGAATGGAGGTTCTACAATAGTTTCCCCTGCCTCCCTTATTTCTGTCTGCAGCAGGATGGAAGAACAATATCATCTGTCATCTGCAGAAAGAGCTTTCAAAGACAAAATCATAAAAAGAATGAAAGGCTATTATACAAAAAGAGGAAAAAATGCTTTGGTTTCACAGATTTTCTACTTATTAATGTTTAAGGTTATCCATTCTTGGAGCAAAGTATCTTCTCATGCTGGCGGGTGTGTGAGTGTGCATGTGTGTGCGTTCAGGTCACACCACTTTCTGACAACCAGATCACATGGCACCTTATGCACCGTGTAGACAATTGCTAACTGCGGCCAGAGGGTGGAGGAGAAAAAGATGCTTTGTAGACTTGAAGACTTTTCCAAGATGAGAAAAAGAGAAAGTGGTAGGCGGGATGTGAAGTCCGAGGTTTTAGTGAAGATAAGGCCCCCTCACCTTAGCTGTGGGTAACAGACTTGAAGACCAGGAAAGACCAGAGTTGGGCATACCAACATCTGCTGGTGAAACCAAACATCTGCTGGTTAAACCAAAGTAGACTTAAGCAAGCACTTTATCAGAAACTTGGAGAAACAGGTGCGATCCATCCATCTGACAGGACTTAAGATGTGGTTAGAGAGAAAGCTGGGATTGGGTTCCCAACTTTTAGGAGATCTGTGTGGATAATTCCAATATTCTGGGCGGAGTTCTGCAAGGTCCCACCTCCTTAGCAGAACTTTACCACAACCGCTATCCTCCTCCGGCCTTGGGGCTCAAAGAGTTGTCTGAGGAGCAGTGGCCCCTACCTTACCCTGGAGGTTGGTGGAAAGGCAGACATCTTCTCTGCCCACACAAGTTCGTGGAATCAGAATGGACACTGAGACAGCACAGGACACACAGGTACATTAACGTGTGAACCAGGCCGGTTTAGGTAGTGCAGTAAGGATGAGCCACGTATCTGGACTCTGCAGCCTCATAGTTGAGATTCTCCTCCACGTGCGTGAGACGCATGGACGGCAAAGGGCAGGCTAGCCTGGAACTTCTTGCCTCGATCTCCCAAGTGCTGGGACGGCAGTGTGAGCAGCTGTGTCCGGTTTGGTGCCATTTACTTGCCGGATATAAGGGGAGGGTAGCATTGGCATCATGGACGGGGAATACAGCCCAACTCTCACGGCAGCCAGGAAAGCCCCTGAAAAAGAGGGTTATTAGCCCCTTCAAGTTTCACAGTGCCAACTCTTGCCCCAGTGATGGAGCCAATATCCTGGATTTGCCTTGGGGAGACACTAGGCAGCTACCTGCCTACAGCTGCGGAGGTGGCCGATGGGCACCCACTGCCTCGCTCCCGGGCCTCAAATCCTGGTGAGTCGACCCGAAAGCACCTTGGGCATCATCCTCCAACCTCTTCTGCCAAGAAAGAAAAGCGGGGCGGCCATGAGCTGAGGGACCACAAGGGACAGTGCTCAGAAAGCGCCTGAGAGATTGAGGTCATGTGCCCTCTGCCTCTGTGGAGAAACAGAGGCTGGAGGCCAGAACCGCCTTCGCTGCAGGAGATTGGTGCACAGGTTCCGGTCCTCGCCTTCGCCCCAGAGGATCAAATTAGCCACTTCCTGAGGACCAAATAAAAGAAACACATGGACCTTGGTGATGGGCAAGCCATTGTTTCCTCGTCTGGGGGTAGAGTAGGAAGGAGGCATCCCCACCACCCATGCCTGCTACCTAGGCCTTCAACCCCTTGACTCCCCTGTGCCTTGCAGCCATCCTACAGTCCTAACTGGAGAAGGAAGGCAATCACCTGCTTCCTTTGCCTTCCTAGTCCTCTCAGGTTTGGACAGCTTCCCCTTGGTAAGCGACAGCCTTAATTCTCAAGCTTTCCTTTTGTCCAGTATTGGGGCTCCTCCCTTAATTTTCCATTTACTGTAAGATTTTGTTAACAGTGGACTGGACGTGTCCTGCCAAGCTTGTTAAATGTTACCAGGGAAGTAAGTTGGGGTCCTCGCTTAGGAATCCTTAAACAGACTCAGAAGGGAACCTGAGGACTACTTCATTAGAGTTTAAGAAAGCCCAGGGATCGCAAGGTGTAGCTCTCAGCAGCTACAGCAGGGAGAAGAAAGGAGAAGAGCATAGAACCATGACTTCTGAGTTAAGCCAACATGGAGGTCAGTTACATAGCAGTCAAGGAGCAACATAGCGCGGAGAAGAACTCCAGAGACAGAGCAAAGCCAGAGTGTTAGTGAAAGCTTGCTTAGAGCACAGATCGGGATAGGACTTGGGGGAAGGGCCAGAGATTCCCAGAGAAAATAAAAGACAGAAGAAATCAATCACATCAGACCAAACGAGTTGCCTTTTGAGGTCCTTTCCACTGATTTATGAGTGGGAGGGGGTGGAGGTAGGGGTAGGTTTAAGTCCATTCCCTGGATGCTCAAAGTCAGTCCCCTTAAAGTACGGGGCAAAATTCACTGTCGAAAGTTACCTGAAAATCTCCTGGGGCTTTGGGGCACGCGGGAGGGCGGGGGAGGCAAGGTTGGGCTACCTTCAGTGTTTGCTAGTCTCCAGCACCTCAGGCTTTGTGGGGGTGGGATCCGCTGGATCTGAAGATGCAGGGCAGGGAACTAGGTCTCTGCTCAGAGGTTCCATTTTGCAGGCAGAGAAGTGCTAGGTGTAGACCACACCCAAGCCAGAGATCCTAGAGTTCTCATCCACCCGAGGGAGATGAGATCTCTGGGCGGGTGAGGTGTGTGGGATGAGGGTGCTTTTGGATCTGCCAGAAGTTGATGCACCCAGGGGCAAGTCTCTCACCCCGCACAAGTAAGTGGTGACATCTCCTAATCCCCAGCCCTCCCACCCCACTTCACAAATTGCGACAAGGGAAGAAATGCTTTCTTTTGGTGAAAACACTTTGGGTATTGTGGTGGTTTGAAAGAAAATGACCCCCAAAGACAGGGTCACCAATGGGAGGTGTGACTTTATTGCAGGAAGAGTGTTGTCACTGTGGGGGTGGGTTTTGAGGTCTCAGATAGGCTCAAACTACTCCCAGTAAAACAGTCCACTTTCTGTTGCCTTCTGACCAAGATGTAGCCAGCACCATGCCTGACTGCATGACGCCATGTCCCATCATGATGATGATAAACTGAACCTCTGAACTGCAAGTGAGCATCCCAATGAAATAATTTCCTTTATAAGAGTTGCCATGGTCACAGCACCAGAAATCCTAACTAAGACAGATACATTGTGATTATTTGCATAGAGCAAATTTTTGAGAAAAACTCTTTTTGGGCCTCAAAAAGGGAAAGAAGAAAGAATATGTGCCCTCTAACATGGAAAAAGGTAGGAGAGACTCCTACAGGGACTCCCCACCACAAAGAAAACAGGTGGGAACTGCTCATTCTATCCAAACCAAGTGTTCTCCCCTCCCCAGCTTGCTATCCGCCCGTTTACTTTCTGGAGAGTGCTCCCCAGATTTGGCAATCCATAGGTGCTCAATGTCTTTGTGACTTTAGATGCTCTCTTACCTGTGTGAACAAAGAAGCCCAGTCCAAGCTGGGCGGTGGTGGCACACGCCTTTAATCCCAGCACTCGGGAGGCAGAAGCAGGCGGATCTCTGTGAGTTCGAGGCCAGCCTGGTCAACAAGAGCTAGTTCCAGGACAGGCTCCAAAGCCGCAGAGAAACCCTGTCTTAAAAAGAAGAAGAAGAAGAGAAGAAGAAGCCCAGTCTAGTGACAGCAGCACCCCTGGGAGCCTCTGAAGCACTAATGCCAGGCTACCTCAGTCACGCTGGTGAACACACCAGGCACTTTACCGCCATCTCCTTTAAGAAGGGAGAACAGACATTAGGAAAGTCTTGAGTTCGGGGTTGATTTTCCTAGGGGTTTCCAGAAATGAGGGAAGAAACGGGAGAATAGTGAGCAATGCTTGGAGCGACAGGTTCTTCCTGAATCCGCTGATCTCAGAAGAGAAGGGTGACAGGCACACTCTGAGATCAGGCAGCCTGGCTCCAAGTTCGCTTCTGCAGCTACTGGTTATATGAAGCTAGCAAGTCACTCACCTTCCGAAGCCTTGCTGTTCTCGTTTTTAAAATGGGACTGAAGAATCATTTACAAAGGCATTTTGAGGATACAGCCATAAAACGCACGTCCTGAACATCACAAGGCTTTGGTGCCTGCTGGTATCTGGCTTAATAAAGAAAATCAAAGAACAGTGTTTAACATGGTAGAAGTCAGCTCATTGAAATGCCCAGCACCAACTCTTTAAAATGAGGTGGGAAGGGCACATAAAAGGAGTCTGGGGAAAGACATTACTGCCTTCAGGAATGGAAAAGTGTTTACTACTTAGCACCATTAGCTTGGTGTTGTCTGAAAAGGGGGCCCAACCTCAACGCCAGACAGAATCGCTCCGGAAACCAGGGTAATCGGTGTGAAAGAATGTTTCACTGGTTATTAAAAACCTCAGACTACATAAATCTATGTGGAAACCTATAAAGGACATATGAATGTAATACCAATGTTAAAATCTAGGTCCTTGGTCAATATTTTCAAGGAAAAAAATGCAATAGCTATCCAGAAGTCTGTCATAGTGCAAGATTATGTGGAACAACGGAAGTCTTTTTTTTAATCAGATAAAGAAGTAAAGAAATAATATCATTGGTAATAATTGAATGTGTTGGTGCTGGTTGATGACTAAGAGTTCTCCTACTTTAAAAAACATAACATACAAACAATAACAAACCTTCTGAGAAAGCGCCCAAGGAGAGAACTGGCCAACAGCACTTGGGAGAACGGTCCATGCAACCAGATGGAAGATGGAGACTCTGACCTCTCCAGGCTACACAGCACTCAGCAGAGGCTCGCTCACGTGCTTGCTGGTGCAGAAAGGAGCCAAGAGGTGAGAAAGGAAAAGGGTCACACCGAAAGCAGTACTTGAGGGATTTCACATAGTCTCCAGCTTGAGCCCTCCCGGTACCACCAAATTGTAGACAATGGTTTCTGAGCGCTTGCGCCCTGGAGACAGAGACCCCACACTAACCCAGGTTCGGCGCTGCTGAATTGGTGTCCCGGCCTTCAGGAGGTAAAGACAGGAAGAGCAAGAATGCCAAGGCCGTCCCCAGTTACAGAAAACCTTGTCTGAGAAGGAGTCAGGGAGGTGAGGACGGCAGAGCAAAGGTAAAGAGGCAAGAAGGAAGCAAGAAGGAAGAAGAGAAGAGAAAAAATCAAGATAGGCCCTCAGATCCTTACACCGCCTCTTCCTTGCTATTTGACTTTGGGCGTAAGACTTTACCTCCTTGACACCACCCCCCAATTTCACTGTCAGGAAAAGGGAGATCCTTCCCCTCTGAGGCCTGCTTTGAAGAGTGGGTGATAGCCATAAAACCTCAAATCCAGACAAGTCTCAGGGAAGGGTCTCTGAATTGCATTCACATGGCTTTCAGTATTTGTCCCCAAATTCTTTGTCCTTCCTGTGTGTAAGCTAGGTCACCTGCCAAGCAGTTCGGGGCGATTCCATGGAGAAATCTCTTTTTGCTTCCAAACCAGAACCCAAATTCCCAGCCTCTGAGTTTCTTCCCATTGCTAATTGTTGCTCACGCTGCCTGACAGCTGTTTCTTCCCTGTTTGGTGACTGAGGGATCAATCAAAAGCTGCTTTTGTAGTAGAGTGACTGGGGAGGGGGGGAGCGCTGTTGAAGTGCCTGGCGGAATGTGTGATTCTGACAGTTCTTCTCGGGCTGGGCTGGGGAGTGGGAAGAGATGCACTCACTAAAGGATGTTCTGGGGTTCAAGTTAGTGTCCACCCCACCCAGCTTAGCCAGCCAACCAGTTGGTAAGTGGCCCCAGCAGCCTTGGTCCCAGGTTATACGTTAATGGTTGTTTGGGGACCATTACCGTAGTTCTGTCTTCTCAAGTCCACAGCACTGAGGGTCAGGCCACACACACCCCCACTCTTCCTTCTGCTTCTGCTCATAGCTCTTCATGCCCCTTCTGATCCCATCCCTTCTGATCCCATCCAGCGCCATGTTCAAGGAAAGGCGATGGATCCTCCCATCATTTTGCTCCTGGTAAGGACTTAGCAGCAGCTAACAGTGCATTAGCCAACCTCTGCGCAGAAAAGGCGTGCATCTTAAAGTGGGATTCCCACGAAATGACCTGCCACTGAGACTGATCAATTGCTATGTACTGACTGCACACTGAGTAAGACTCAGGAGGGACTGAGAGACCAGAGCACAGGCAACTTCCAGCCCTCAAGCTGCAATGGGGTAAATGTTCTTGTTTACATCTCTGAATCACTGGAGAAAAATTAGTCAGGGCTAATCAAGGTGTAATCAAAGCCTGGGGCCTTTTGAGAGAAATCAAAGCATTCTGATTATAGGGCCATGAAAGGCAGCAAACAGACCAGCACCATGGAGGAGCAGGGTTCTTTTCTCTCTTTTTCTTTTTTCCACTTTTTCTTTCTTCCCTCCTTCCTTCCTTCCTTCCTTCCTTCCTTCCTTTCGTTATTTCTTTCTTTCTTCGTTCTTTCTTTCTTCCTTTCTTTTAATAAAATGATTTATTTATTTTTATTCTGTGTTCATTGGTGTTTTGTCCGCATGCTTGTCTCTGTGAGAGTGTCACAGACCCTGGAGCTGGAGTTACTGACAGTTGTGAGCTGCCGTATAGGTGCTGAGAATTGAACCTGGCTCCTCTTGGAAGAGTAGCCAGTGCTCTTTACCACTGAGCCATTTCTAAAGAGCAGTTTTCAATCCAGGTATTATTACAGGGAAAGAAGTATTTACTGGGCAAAAATGAAGAGATGCACCCCCAACTGGGGAAACAGCACAGTCAGGCCAGAGGATGCCTCTAAAACTGCCTTTGATAGAGGAAGTGGTTGTGAAAGACACAAGGGTGGGTGGAGAGACTTTAGTGAAGCTGAGAAAGGAAACAGAGAAGGCATTCAGGGGGCAAAAACATCATTGTAATAGCAACACCTGCCCTTTATTAAGTCCCCGTTTGCTTCTTCATTCAACAGACACTCTGCTTCTTAAAATGAATCTTGATGCATGGGGTAGAACCTGCCCATAAATTCGGGTGCTGAGGCAGAAGGGCTAAGAAGTTTAAAGCCAACCTGGCCTAGATTGTAAGACTGTCTCAAAAGATGTGGGGGGTGGGCGGTGAGAGATGACTCCATCTGAGAGGTACTTGACTTGCAGGTGTGAGAACTTGAATTTTTATGCCTAGACTCCATGTAAAAAGCCAAGTATGTGCTCACAATCCCAGATGTTGGGAGATGGGAAAAGACAAGGACGCCGAGAGCACAGGTGCCAGCTATGCCAATCTCTTTAGCAGACTTCTGGGCCAGTCCCAAGCAAACAGTGGATGGTGCCTGAGGAAAAAGACCTAAGGTTGTATACACACACACACACACACACACACACACACACACACACACAAATAAAACAACAGGAAGGAATCTCTGTTAAGATGCAGTAGAGACTTCCTATGCAGACACTGCACTGAACACCTGACCAGTGTCAGATCTTCAGGCTAGGACCCTCTACAATGCCGTGAGCCTTTGGGTTTCGCTGTCCTACGTCTGCAGATGTGAGATATGTTTGAACAGTTTGTAGGCAATACAACAGTGTGGCTCCCGAGCTCCCAAGCCCAACTCCACACTTCTAACTGTGTAAGCTGGGGCAAACGACTCTGCCTTTACATTTCTCTGCTGTAAAGCATAACACAGGGGCATTGGTGCCTTCAAGAGTATTTGGGGAAAGAAAATGCGGGCTGAGAACTAGTCAGCACCGAGCCAGGCTGTGAGGAGCCCTCTACCACTCCTTAGTGTGATAACTCCTCCGCACCGGTTGAATGAAGGCTAACAGAGCCCACCTGAGGACCTGTGGGCAGCCAAGAAATAGAATGTTTATTTTCATCTTAGGGACGTGGGGGGCCGTGCCTATGATTCCAGCCCTCAAGGGATATTACAAAGCAGCAGAAAACAGGTGAGACTTGATGCCTTCAGTGTTCTTCTAGATCACACACTATTTGTTCAGTGTTGACATGAGCATTCTCCCTGCAGGGAATCTTGCTGAATCTCTGCTACCCGCCCAGACTGACATCCGTGGCGTGCCTGGCTGTCTTTCATTTCCACAGATATTATGATCTGACTCAAGGAGGCAGCTCCATTGCTTTCTTTGAGACCCCAGACCATCTTAGAGTCTGATATGCAGTGTGACAGTGGAATGGCAAGTATCAAGGAGCCTCCGACAGTGCTGGGGACTGTCCTGCATTCACAAGCCAATCAGCAAGTCTCAACACTTTCTGGTTCATCTTCCTTTTTCTTCTTCTCATGTAGATATAGTGTGTGTATGTGTGTGTGTGTGTGTGTGTGTGTGTGTGTGTGTGTGTGTGTGTAGCATGTGTATGCAGATGCTTGAAGATGCCAGGAGAGGGCATCAGATCCCTTGGAACCTCTTGGAGTTTAGAGGTTGTGAGCCGCCCATGTGGGTCCTGCAAACCGAACCCAGGTCCTCTGCAAGAGCTGCGGGCACTCTTAACTGCGAGCCATCTCTCCAGTCCCAAATCTGCTTTCTGAAGCCCTTGTGCAGGACTGAGACTTGCCCCCAAGGAGTCAGTTTTCTTAAAATGTTATTATTCTTATAAAAGCCTTGCCTCATCCCATCTTTGACTGCTTCTTGACTTGTTATCTGTACATTTTCAACTATTTGGGATTTCAGGCTTTGAAAGAAACTTTATCAAGTATTCAAATCAATCTTTCTCCTCTTTATTGATAGCACCTGCAACCTGCTGATTAACTTTTCAATCAAAGCTGCCTACAGCACAGAGGCTGCCGCAGGCAACAACTGGAGGAGGCGCCTAGTGACTCCCTTGGAGCTTCCAGCTGCCCCTCAGCAAATGTTGCCAACTAGTCTCAATTCCCTGGCACCTGCTGAGAAAAGGGGCGTTAATCAACCTGAATTCTCTGCTCTCGCCTGGCTCACAGAAGTCACTAGAACTCACCTACTCTGTGCAGAGCGTGAGCAAAGAGCTGCGGATGTGAGAGGCAGGAAGAACCGCAAAGAATAATCGCGGTTTCTTCTTCCTACCCTTGAAATGTTTGAGAGTTGGCTCATACATCCTTTAAGAGGCTCCAAATCGCCTGAGCAGCTAGGGATGTCTGTAGCTGTCCGTGTATCAGATATCAAGCAGGGGAGTTAGAAAGGCTAAAAGAAAGAGAGAAACACAGTCATGGTGCTAGCACTAGTAACCGCAATAGCACAGCTAGCTGGTGATTAATGACAGTGCTGATTTAACAGCAATAACTAGCCAGGTTCTAGCCACGCTCACTGTAGGCCCAGCTCCGCACTGAAATAGTTCTGAGACTTTCTACCTTCCGCACGGCCTTCTGCATGTAAAGGGTTACGATTTTCCACCTTTCACATTCGAGGAAACCTGACCTTGAAATGCTGTCACTGAGCCAGGTGTGAAGCAGGTGTGCTGCAGATCAAGGGCCCTTGCTCGTTCTCCTCACAGCTCCAGTGACTGGAGCATCTGACAGAGTCACTTTCATGGTGTGTTTGGGGGTGGGTAATAGTATCTGGGCTCACAGTTTGAGAGCTTCCAGTCCGTCGTCGTAGCAGGAAGGACTGGTGGAACAGAGCATCACACGGTGAGACTGGGGGCTGAGCAAGGAAGAAGCCACTGTGTGTGGCTTTCTCCTCCCCCAATCCTCTTATCTCCTCCAAAGTCATGGGTGGTGACACTCACTTTCAAGGTCTGCCTCGTTGGCCCTGCTAATCATCTTTAGAAACACCCTCCCGGACAAGACTGGCGGTGCACCCCACCAGTCTTCTACTGACTCTAAACTAAGACAAGGGGATGATGAAGACTACAGG